GTGCTCTGCCCACCACGGGTATCGAAACCCGGTTTCTAGCGTTGTAAGTCCACAGACATACCACTGTGCCACTGGGTGTCAGGCAGATTAGTAAACGACAAAAATGAAAACAGCTAAATGAAGTGTGTTAAAAAAAGAGAACAGTGAGTTTATGGGAAAGAAAATGAAAAAATAAAAGTTAAACGAACTAACCGCTTGTTGTTCTCAAATATGATCAAACTAATCAATAAATTGAAATAAGGCTTTAATTTTATAAAGAAGAATACAAATAATGTTTAAGTACTTCTTCTGGGATTTTTTTTTTTTTTACACGTATAGAGGAAACTTTCACTATTTTTGAGACACAACACTGGTATTTGTTTTTGTATTCGCAAGAATGTGTGTGTACTAAATATTTATACTAATTCTAAACGTTCTTTAGACTGAGAATAGAAGACACGCGTTATCTAAATTCTTAACCCTAAACGCACAGTACCTTTCGGGTGTCAAAGGCACAACTACGTATCAAATTTCAAAATATAAGATAATAATTTTAATTGTATTTCAATAATTATTAACTCGAAAATATTTTAGAATTGGTATTTGGTCATTACTTAATATTTATTTAGAATAATTCGCAGAGAAAAATCGTTTTATTTAACATAATTTCTTTTCTCATCTCAAATAACAACTTTTTGTCTTTTTGAAAACATAATGTAATACATATCTTGTTTTCCAACTAATTCCTCTTTCAAGTTAGTGGTTTTATTACTATATATCTTTGTATCCACCTTTTTATGACGTCACAGCACGTGGTCTGAGCAACTGCTAATGAGCTCGGCTTTGAAAACAACTCTGGCTAACCGCTAAATACTGTGGTATAAAGCCGGTTATAGACTATTAAGTTGGATAAACAAAGAGGTCCGAACAGTAACTTGTAGTTTCTTGAGATGTTGACTACACAGAGCTCCTGTAAGGTGAACGAACAAAGAAACATAATAGAACAAAGGAATCTAATGAGAAGGTTAAAACACTTAGGAACAAACCATTGATATGGATATTGTTATAATTTCTTTAGACGTTTTTTGCATTTTTTTTATAGCTTTTTTTATGATAAATTATGTCACTTTGAAATCCCCCAAAAAATGTATTCTGTAATAAAAGAACAGTGACAAAATATTCTGATGACTATTGAATATTATTATCAAGTTTATCATAATTAAACAACAAAGAAATAAAATACTTGTTGAAAGGAAGCTATATTTAATAGAGATAGGTTGATCTCGTCTAAAAATATTGCTAGCGAAAATCACGATACCTAACTTAACAAAAGGTCAAAACAAATCACTGTCAGTTTTTAACGTGCGTGTTTTTTTTTAATCATTTATAAAGTACCAGGAAAAACGTTAATAAACTTCAATCAAGTTAAATCAGAAAGTTTCACTTTCTGAGCAACAACAACATAATTCTAATACGAGAAAACTGATTTTTAATATATTTTTTACAACTGTGTCTCACTAAACATAATCATGCAATAACTTTTAGCAAAAGTTGGAATTAATAATAACTAGTCTTAATCATGAGTGAGAGATAAACCACGAAAATCTTTGTTTGTTTGTGTGAAGTTAAGCACAAAGCTACACAATGGGCTATCTGTGCTCTGCCCAACACAGGTATCGTCCCTAATTTAGCAGTCCTACTGCAGGCCAACTCTAGGGCTACTTATTTACCAGCGAATAGTGGGATTGACTGTTACATTATAACGCCCCCACGGCTGAAAGGGCGAGCATGTTTGGTGTGATGGGGATTAGAACCCGCAACCCGCAGATTGCAAGTCGAGTGCCCTAACCACCTGGCCATGCCGGGCCCACGGGTTTAGGAACCCGGTTTCTAGCGTTGTAATTTCGAAGACATACCGCTAAGCCACTGGAGGGGGGGGGTCACAAAAGGCCTCAGTTAAATCAATTATTTGCTGATAGCGGTGTTTTTACCCTTATTTCAAGAATACCTGATAAGGTTGGGCCTGCTTAGCGACTTGCTGGGTACAGAGTCAGAACTATCACGTGTAAAGCATCAGTTGCCATACCAATCATTAATTGAGCAGGTTTTAAAACTTCGCAACCTAAAAGTGATAGGATTATATGTTTGTTTGTTGCTTTTTGTAAGTAGAATCTATGTATTACTTCAAACGTTTGTACTAAATTTCATGCAGTTTTGGTAAGCATTTACACTGTGTCAAGGGAAAAGAATCAGAGAATATCAGTGACAGTCCTCCGGTACAAAAGGGTTAAAGATGTAAAAGTAAATCGCTATTAAAACTGTTAATATCTTGATAAACCAAACATTAATGTTCAAACCACTTGGCTAACTATACGCTGACGTTATAATCAGCTCTGATATATTCAACTGTTGAATCGTGTTATAAATTACAAAGCTGGGCTACATTAGTAATCAATTACTCGTGCCACTTCCTGTGACGTCATAAAATGGTGGTAACGACTGTTTGTTTGTTTGTTTTGAATTTCGCGCAAAGCTACACGAGGGCTATCTGCGCTAGCCGTCCCTAATTTAGCAGTGTAAGACTAGAGGGAAGGCAGCTAGTCATCACCACCCACCGCCAACTCTTGGGCTACTCTTTTACCAACGAATAGTGGGATTGACCGTCACATTATAACGCTCTCACGGCTGAAAGGGCGAGCATGTTTGGTGTGACAGGGATTCGAACCCGCGACCCTCAGATTGCGAGTCGAGTGCCTTAACCACCTGGCCATGCCGGGCCGGTGGTAACGAAGAACTGTGGAAAGAAAACTACTAACGGCGAAGGAAAAATCGAATAAGAAAACAAGACAACTTCTCGAAACTTCTCGGAAGTGAAAGTCGAATGTTTTTCCATTTTTCTATGTACAGTACGCTAAATAAGTTATAACTAATAACAAAGCATTAATTCTAAAATATGTTTGAGTTACGAAGTGTTAAAATAGAGTTATAAGGACTATTTTTACTTAAATTTTGGAATCTGATATATAGGAGTGCACTTTTGACCTGAAAGGTGCTTGCCGGTCCGAATAGTGTTAAACAACAATAAAGAATAGTCCAATATTAAAGCTAGTAGATATATATATGTATCTGTCTTACACGCATGGCTATTCGGTTCGTCCATATTTGTATTCTGGAAATGAAATCATTTTATTGCTAGTCGCGACACCTAGTGGATGGATAAGCATCTCCGGTAACTGTGAGGCCCTTGGTGAATAGAAGACTTATTTATAAAGTTCTTTAGATTAATTAACTAATTAATAGTTTATTTGAGGGATCCCTCTGTAGGCAATAGATAGTATCTAGTTTAGGGATATTAGACAAAGTGTGTTGTTAGAGAACTTATTATAAACTCCAGTTCTGTAAAATAAGTTTTATGATAACAAACCATTTGTCTCAAACTAGAGGTTACACTGCTAAAGGTTACACTGCTAAGTAAAGTTGTGGTTAAAAGTAAAAAGAAAAAACAACAACAACAACTTCATGTCACTGGCTGTGTGTGTGTTTGAGTTTGAGTAGGTTATCATGAGGTTTTCATTACGTGATGATATCAAACGATTACAACATATCTGTCACACAAGGAGATCAGTAATTCTTTGAAGATTCGTCATCTTGAAAATATGGTCATTCCAACCTAAGAAGGAGGCGGTCCATGTTATTCTTAATGGTAACAATAACTAATAATAAACTTGGAAAATATTTGTACTTAGAAAATAATTCATACAATTTTTGTGGTATCTTCTTTGTTAAGTGATCCATTTCTGTTCCCTTACTCTTTTTTTTTTGTATTAAGCCTTGTTCATGTTACTCTTCTGGATGTGACAAGTTGTTGAAAAGTCAACGTGTTCGAAGGTACCCACTCGTTCACCCACGTTATGAAAGTCACACGCCCCACTTATGTGCAAGAAAATATCCATCTTGAACAGATGAAGCACGTGGTTTAAAAACACGAATCTCGACAAATTTTAAGACTTTCGCATTTCACGTTACATCTTGAAGAAAACACAATTCTAAAGTGCGTTCGTTCTTTGATTAAATTATAAGCTCTTAAAAGAGGTCAGCTTTTCTTATTATTTTTCATAATTCGATAAGTGGAGCAAGGCTTAATACAAAAGAAGAAATAAACGTAAATACGTTAAGGTTTAACATTACGATAAATAACCTCCACAATTTCTAAACTTTCAATACAATTATACTGCTAAGATATCATTGACCGATACATCAATGTAATTGATAAACCAAAACATTTGCTGCATTTTTCTTTTAATCACAGCTAAGTCAACCATAAAACAAATGTTCTTATTCTTTTCTTTATCTAGTGAACAATCTAACGTTTAAAATAATTAAGTAGGCAATCTAACGTTTAAAATAATTAAGTATGTATATACAGTCTTATTACTTTCACTTAAATTATTATCGAAAGAAAACTGCCATATAAATTAAACTTATCAAATATTTTAAATTTAAGCACTTAGATGTTCTCTTTTTTGTAATATTCAATAACTCGTTTTCTAACTAGTAAAACTATTCGCAAAGGCTTAAGTTTGATGTTCAATAGGATTTCTAGAAAAACAAGAATTTTTACTCTAGTACAACTATTTAAAAATTCCGTTTGTCCTGAAATTTGTAGATACACTTCATTAATATTCTGTGAAGGGTGTTATTGCCCGATCTCTGGAGGGCTGGACAGTTCAAAGTTACTTCTTCAATTTCAGTTGTTTCTTACTTACAACTGTCAACGTGGCATTATTGTTGCTGGTTGTGGTCATAGGGTCATTGTTACCCTAAATCTGAGCATGGTTACACATTGCATACACGCAGAAAGCAGAGACGTAGTTAGTTTCATCCAATGGATATATATATGATGGCTAAAATAGCCCTGCAGGCGTCAATATGTAGAAAACTTCTAGGCTCAAACATGCTAGACACTTATCTACACAGAGTTTACACACATACACACAGACCTTAAGTGAAGTGAATCTCAATCAGGTTAGTTGGTAATACTCTGGAGTAGAAAACTCGTTGGTAATGTTACTGAGAAAATTGAACTGTGTTGTTCCACAGGAACTCTCTCCATAGTTTCCAGAGTCATAAAAACCGGAGTAGTTGAAACTCAGTTCACTGTCTGTGGAACATTGACCGTTATACTGGTCTGGAGATGGATTGTAGCTAGGAATGTTCGCAGTGTCTCCCACGGAGCCGGTGGGTTCGTAAAACGCAGGAGTTGAAGGAAAAGTTTGTTTGGAGCTGTGGCACTGTAGGCTGGTACGCGATTGCCACTGCTATTTGAAAGATCACAGTACACACTTTGACCGTTGGCTGATGTGTAGTTTTTTTCGTCTTCAGCCATGCAGCCATCTGCTCGATAGGGGTCGTAGCAATAAGGTAGACTGTTAACATTGCTGCTCATTCCATTTGAAAGATAGGAGTCACTGCCGTTAAGAGTGCTGGTGTCGTGGCTGTAGTTACCATAGTGTCTGTAGTCCGTATTATGCCCTCTGTATTCATGCATGTAGGGATGTGGAGGAAGCGGAGGGTGCTGGTGAGGAGATATGGCTTGATTGACAGGACCATGTTCTACGACACCCTCGTATGCGTAGTGACGTAGAGGAGGGTGGAAGGTGGTCCTGTGTTGTCCTTGAACGTTGGAATTCATCAAAATACCAGGTGGACCTGGAGTACTCTGTGAGCCTCCTGGCAATGGATAGGTATGTACAGAAGGCTGGATGCAGCCTGATGTCGAGGAGGAAGGCATGGGACCATGACCTGAGGGAGGATAAAATACGGTGGAAGCAGAGGAGCCAGAGTGGTAATTATTAGGGTTTCCTGCTATGTTATAAGACATTTCCGAGTGGACCCTCTGTTGATGTTGTAAGTGTGCTGGTGGGGGTGTTCTGTAGCAGTAAGGAGATACAAGAGGGGGAGTGGGCTCACGCTGTCCAGTGGAAACGTAACTGGTCATATCAGTTGTTGGGTAGGAACCATTGTACATCCTAGGTCGCTGGAAAGTGGGGGATCCCACAGGTCGCACTTGTGGGCAAGAATAACCAGAACTTGAGCTATTTCTGAGGGTGGACTCCTGCGTTGGGTCAGGTTGGTAGACAGAACATGGTGGATGACATTGACCACAGTTAGGCTCTGATATACAAGTTCCTGATCTGTGATTTAAGGGACTCATGATACAAACACCAACGCTTCTTAGCACAGGGGAATGGTGATCTGTTTGGTACTCATTTGAATTCTCCATAACTATGGTAGAAGGATTGGAACTAGCTTCTGAGCTGCTGGGATGGACACATTCATTGATAGTTGTAATTGACTGGACGACAGGAGGACCATCTGGGGTCTTAACACCATTGGCTTGGATGTGGTCCCCCTGAAGAATGTGTAAAGATTCACCGACATCAGTGGCCATATCTGTTAGAGGAGGTTGAGAACCAGGAGTTTCGGTGTCCGTCGAAATTCCGTTTACACTAGACTCGGATTTTGCTGGGGACGCTGTGGTTCTTCCACAACAGGAGTCTGCCTTTTCTGACATAATGTTACTACATTCAGTTTGGTCGTCATGTCCGTGAGGTTTTGAAATTGATGATATAGAAGAGTCGTCTTTATCCATTGAATTTTCCTTATTCTCAGTTCTGTCAACGCTTTCATTACCACTGTCACCTGCTCCACCAGAGCTACACTTTTCATCATTTTTACTCATAGTAGTCTGTCTTTTGTGTTTCATGCGGCGGTTCTGAAACCACACTTTCACCTGTCTTTCACTCAAATCCAGAGAAGCAGCAATTTCGATTCGACGAGGTCTACACAGATACTTATTGAAGTGAAACTCCTTCTCCAGCTCCAGGAGCTGTGTGTTCGTATAGGCTGTTCGTAGTCTTCTTGGCATGCCATTTTCTCCGCTCTCTGCGAAAAAAGAAAAAAAGAACAAGTTATAATATGCTCTTGTGTTAACTTCGTTACACTTATAGTTACTTGGATAATCATATTTGGCAATAAATTCTTTTTTGTGGAAATAAATCATGTTAAGAGTGTTCAAATATTTTCATTTGGATCTACTGTATATATATATATATATCTCAGCGTGCGGTGCACGTTAAATATAAATGCTGTAATCATTTGGAAAAATATGCCACCAGTAATAATGTAAGAAGAAAACTCCTAGGATTAAATAGCCTTGAGTGTTCTGTGCACAAATCAAGAACCTGAAATATGCAGTCTGCTAAGTGGAAAGAGGGAGACGTGAAAAGTTCAGACTGCTTAATGGAAAGAGAGAGAGAGAACGCGAAAAATAAAAATTGCTCAGTGGAACGAGAGAGAAATTTAAATTGCTCAACTAATAAGAGGGAGGTCGTGAAAAATTGAGACCGTTTAGTGGACAGTTTATTAATTTTTTTCGTGGAATTTCGCACAAAGTCCCTAATTTAGAAGTGATAGACCAGATGAAAGGCAGCTAGACAACACCACTTACCGTCAATTTTTGAGCTTCTCTTTTACCAACGAAAAGTAGGATTGACTGCCACATTATAACGCCCCCATGGCTGAAAGAGCGAGCACGTTTTGTGACAGAATGCGAACCCACGACCTGAAATTGCGAGTCGACCACATTAAACACGAGGCCATTCCAAGCCATAAGGGTATACAGGAAAAAAGTGAAAGACGAGATCGCGCAGTGGACAGAGTTGGTTTGTTCACTACGGGTATTGAAACTAGATTTTGAACGTTATAAGCCTTTAGACTTTCCGCCGAGCCCCAGGGGAGAGAAGTGAAGTGTTGTTTGTCCGTAGATCATTTTAACAAGCAGAATGTATTGGAATTAAACAAATGACACAACGAAATTCAACCTTTAAGACATAATTATATTTGAATATAGTTAGTTGTTAACTTTTGTTTTGTACACATCATCTTTGGTTCTAGAATACAATCAAGTTACTTTATCAGAACAGACGTGATTTCCCATGATAATTTGATCAAAAATATGAACAAACAATGGTATGTTGTATGTAATGAGGATTTTGTAAAAAAAAAAAATCTTGCATGAGATATGCTCGTCCAAATGTTAGAGCCAAGTGAACACATTTAACGATATTACGTAGACGTTGCTGCCTTCTAAATTTAGGGAATTTATACATTTCGCTAATGGACATTTCAGGGTCTAATGACACTCTAGAAAATCACACAAATTTAATATTGGGTTACAACGATATGCAAATGTTGCTTTTAATATATTTAACAATATTTTATATTGCGCCAAAGCCGAATAAACAACTACGAATTTTATTCTGTTGTGAATGTATTCAGTGCATTATATGAAATTTATGTCTGAAAAGTCGTGTCTCATTACGAATAGTACTTCTCTAAATGACATTACAACAACACTAATTATCTGTACTGTCAGTTGTATCATAATTTATATTTGGTTTGTTTGTTTGTTTTTGAATTTCGCGCAAAGCTACACGAGGGCTATCTGCGCTAGCCGTCCGTAATTTAGCAGTGTAAGACTAGAGGGAAGGCAGCTAGTAATCACCACTAACTCTTGGGCTACTCCTTTACCAACGAATAGTGGGACTGACCGTCACATTATAACGCCCCAACGACTGAAAGGGCGAGCATGTTTGGTGGGATGGGGATTCGAACCCTCGACCCTCAGATTGCGAGTCGAGCTCCCTAACCATCTGACCATGTCGGGGTCTTATATTTAGTACCTTTATAGATATGTTTCTCTGAGAAATTTCACAACTTAAAGAAGGAATAAAATCGATACCCTTAAAAATTGATTTTTGATCTTATCTTAGTTTCTCGATCCAAGAATAACTCGATGTGTTATAAACATTTAATCTACTTTTTTGATTGCTCACATATCACACACTAAACTGATAACTTAATTTAATTAACTCTTGAAGCATTGCTAAAAAAAAAGAAGAAGACATTAAACTATCTTCAAATTGAGTCTTGTTATCTTATGACTTGACTTAAAAACATTTCAAGCAGTCTTTCAATTAGGTACGAGTGATCTTCTTTATAGAGTCATACTCTTTAGGCGTACTTAAAGTCATACTTATTAAGCCGTGCTTAAATCATCTTCCACGAAAAAATTGGTTTTTCTCTGTTAATATTTGAACCTACACTAAGATATATATATATACACAATTTACAATTATAAAAATTACTGGTAAGCCAGAAGATAAGGTAAAACGTGCAGAAAGGAAAGGATGTGAAGTAATATCATCAACTTTGGAAAGAAGTATGGCGTTTATTTTCTGGGTATGTGATGAGGGGTTTAACAGATAGCATGTTTTTAATCAAAAACTCTTAAGGTTAAAAAAAATCAATAATAAATTTCAAGGCACAAGTTTAAAAACAATGTTTTTTTTTTAATTTTCCAGCGGGAAAGCAGCGTATTCAACTGATGCAGAATTATAGTATTTACATTTCGAGTTTGTATTACTTGTTATTTATCGCCTGATAACGCGAGCTATATTATTTATATGCTGATTTTTCTGAAAGATTATAACGCTAAAAATCGGGTTTCGATACCTCTGGTGCCCATAGTACAGATAGCCTATTATGTAGCTTCGAGTTTAATAATAAAAACAATAAGAAAACACACAAATCTTTCTCCTTTCTCGACGTTTCGTTAAATTAGGAAATAATTTTATGCAAAAATGATCAAAGATCAAATCCGGATTTTGTGTTAACCTTTCATAATATTATATATTAATAAATATATGACACTAGAATATATATGGCTTTTAAATTTAACACCGTGCCACAAAGATATGAAGATACGATCTTTTTTGGGTGTTGGTTTTGTTCTGGTTTCTCCAAATTAAAGATGGAAGTACGATTGGACAAATGAAATATATTCATGAAAAAAAAAGCTCAACGAACGAATTGAGTATGTAGTATCCGATAAGCTATATGCAATCTTTTTTTACTTTATTAGTCATTTTACATACTCCCCAATTATTCTTTTATGCCATTTACTGATCAATATTTTTGCAAGTTTAAGTGTAAAAGGATAAGTCCAGCAAAATATGCCCCCAGAAACAGAAACAGAAAAATATCTTCTTTAGTTTTTATGTGTCGCAGCAAACAATGTTCAAGACCATATTTCCCGAGCAAAACATTTTCCGACTATCCTTAGAAACTATGAAAGATATACCAGAACAAAACACACCCACACACAAACACGACACTTGCAAAACAAACCACAACATCAGAGAGGAGAAATTCAAATGAAGACTAAACCAGCACGTTTACAATAGAACCCCCTGCACTGCCGTTCATGCGCAGTAGCGAGAAGTATTACATGAAGAAAAAGAAGATGGATGATCTGACAGTATGGATTAAAATAATCATTATTTCTTTGACAACTACAACCGAAAGCGACGTATAGTGCCCGAAGTTGTACTTGAAGCTTTACCATGGCGTACAAGCTCAATTTTAGCCCAGTAGGCTCTTTTTTTTAATATCTTCTTTGTTTGTTTTTTGAATTTCGCGCAAAGCTACACGAGGGCTATCTGCGCTAGCCGTCCCTAATTTAGCAGTGTAAGACTAGAGGAAAGGCAGCTAGTTATCACCACCCACCGCCAACTCTTGGGCTACTCTTTTTACCAACGAATAGTGGGATTGACCGTCACATTATAACGCCCCCACGACTGAAAGGGCGAGCATGTTTGGTGTGACGGGGATTCGAACCCGCGACCAGCAGATTGCGAGTCGAGCGTTTCATACAAGTACAATTATGTAAATGACGACCCCTCCCCCTTTTTCTTGTTTCATGAAAGAAGGAATCTTGTAACCATTATAACAACAGTTGCAAATATCGAGGTTGTCTTTTTTTTTTTTTGTTCCCCAAGTTAATAAACAACCAGAGGATCAATGCTTAAGAAAAAAAAAACCCCAAAAAACAGAACACAGAGGAATTGAACTAAAAGTATTGTTTCTCTGGAAGCATCTCGATAAAAACCAACGAGAACAGTTACAAGAATACACTTAAAACAACTCTGGAGATAAAAGAAAAAAAAAGAAAAAAATCATTAAGCGACAAAAACTCGACAGAAAAATTCGTTTCCATTAGACAGCGTCTTTTTGGATATCCAGGTCAGCCTCCTCTA